AGACATGCACAGAAAATTCAGATGTGTTGGAGATGAGTACAAGCCTTGGGGAAATGGCTTTACAGGATCCGTCTGACACCAGTTATTCAATATCAAGCGAAACCAGCACATCTATCAACGAGTGCGTTTCTGATTCTGCCCCTTCCAGTGTAAATGGAAAAGTGTGGTCTGAAAGAAAATGGCTTGTAAACGAAGCAAGACTATTAGAACTATTTGCTCTCTGCAGAACATGTGGCTCTGCCATCGAAGACAAAAAAATATGTACTCAGTCTAGCCAAATTAGAATACATTGGAGTTGCATAAATGACCACTCCGGAATATGGTCTTCATGTCCTGACATCAGAGGAATGCCATCAAACAATCTCATAATCAGTGCAGCCACCTATTTTACCGGCACCACCCACTCCACTATCATGGACTGGGCTGAACTTCTAAACACATCAATTCCAAAGAAAACCCAGTTTTATGCACTTCAATCTACCTACTTGATACCAGTTATTCAAGAAGCATATCAAGCACATCATGAGCAAATAATAGAGCGCCTCATAGAGCTGTCAAACTCTGGACAAAAAGTAGAGCTCTGTGGTGATGCAAGGTGTGACAGCCCAGGTGAACATTATGCTTTATATGGAAATTATAACCATATGAGTTGTTCAGTTATACTACATAACAAGTAATGGCAACCATCTAATGTCTTTCTAAGTATCTTTTTCACATATCAGGTTTTAGTGCCAAATATAGCACATACTCTTTTATGGAGAATGTCAAAAAAGAGATTGTACACTTTGAATTTGTTCAGGTAAATTAGTGTGTATTACTATGTTATGAAACACAAACTTTGGTGTCTCACATGCATTGTTTTAAACACAATTTGGCCATGGTTTGTTCAATGTTATTCTCTAGGTGACCGAAGCAAGCAGCTCTGTGGCCATGGAGGTGATGGGTTTCCAGAGGGGTCTGGATTACCTGCTTGAGAGGGGAGTGGTTATTGGAGTGATAACCACTGACAGATCACCATCCATCAGAAAACTTATGAGGGACAACTACAGTGGCATACGGCATGAACTTGACCCCTGGCATGTCAGTAAGAGTAAGTGGTTTACGTGGACAAGAAATTGATGCAGTTCCAAACTCAATATAATTGCATGTTCTCTGTTCACTTTCTGTAGCTAACTTCAATTTACTGTACTTCCTTGAATGATGTTTTGTATAGGTGTGAAGAAAAAACTTGTGTCCATATCAAACAAGACGGATAACAAAGACCTCCGTCCTTGGATCAAGGCCATTATCAACCATCTCTACTGGTCATGTTACTCAAGCAAAGGTGACAGAGAGGTAATTAAAAACAGTTGTATCCAACAGTCACTAATTATCTATTAGACACAGCATTCCCATAAGTATTATAACATTGTAATGAAACATTTGAGAGCAAATATAATCTGAGCGCACAGCTTATATTGGCTTTTAAATTTCACCAACTGTCATTACTTGTTTTGTGTAGGAATGTGTAAGAATATGGACATCACTTCTCCACCACATACGTGGTGTACATAGATGGTAAGAAGATGGTGTTCAGTACACCTGTGGTCACCCAACCTTGACAGAAGATCAACAGAGGCGGAAGAGGTGGCTGAAGTCAGATTCGTCATGTTTTCTTGCACTGAAGGGTGTGGTGATGGACAGCAATCTCCTTAGAGATTTGAGACAAATGGCACTCTTCAAACATACTGGTAAGAATTTAGACGCATTGAAGTGTTTTTATCTCATGCAGTTTTGTGCTTAAAAAAGGGAAAATTTACATTATTGTGAGGCCTAGTATCAATATCATCAGAGCCACTCTATAGTGGCTCCAAGGTATGATATAAGACTATGTATCTAGTGGGAATGTTATTAGTTGATGACTAAAAAATAGTTGAGGACCATGGTAATGTTCAGGACTATGACAAATGTGTTTTATAGGCTAGTAGTTACTTGCAGTATGCCAAAATTTCTTATGTACTAACAAAAGGCTACATTCACCGCATACTACAAAAGTCAGTTATTGTATGTCAATGTGATTTTTGTCAGGACAACCGAAGCACAAAGTTGTTTTCTCGCGGCAGTCTCACCAATGGGTGGCAAAGCCCATGTATGAACACACAAATCAGGCATTCCGCGATGACCTGATGGAGCGTGTCTGGAGGAGGAGAGAAGACGGCACCATATTATTATCCGAGTCCTTACCCCGTCATCGACAGAGGAGGCGGCGACTGCTTCACAACATAGCCCCATTTCCACGGCCGGATAAGAGTGACCTGCTTGCTCAAGCCAGGTTGCGTTATATGAGCATGTTCTAGGCCTAGGTTAACATCACTGAACTATTTGTTCTTTCTACACTTCAGACTATGTTGTGTCATGATTATGTATAAAACCACACACTGCACTGTACAAACTTCATCTTGATTGTCTATATTGTGATACTTTAAAAACCATTTTGTTGTTGTTGAAGTAAAGACACAAAAACAATTGAATGTGTACTGTTAATTTATAAAACCGCTCTTAATAGACATATGTTTGCAATATATTACAATACTGTAAAAAATTAATTCTTACAATTTACTTATTCAATTTTACTTTTACTATAATACATATTATTACTTATTCATTATATAACTGTTCTATGTTTATTCCTAGTAATGACAATACCACTGATAACAGTCAGGTGTTTGCAATTTATTATAAAACTGTACAATTGACATTCTTACAATGTATTTAGACAACTTCAATAGTGCAATATACATATTCATACTTTTTCATAATAGAACAGTTCAATTACTTTGTTTATGCCCAGTAATGACAATACGAAGTATTACTAGAATCTAGATCACAATATTAGACTCAGAAGATTTCCTCTGCCTCTTTGAATCCCGTGTAAATTCCAGTGGGGGAGGGGTACTCTTGTCTGATTGCTGCTACAACACAGCTAGGCAATGGCCGTTTCTCAATATGCGTTCTTGTCTGTACTTGTGTTCTTGTGGACTTGTGAAACGTCATCAGTCGCTGCCCAAGTACTGTCCCTATAGAGAGCCTAAGTCCCTCCCCTTCCGGTCGACCACCATGGGACCTTATTTCGGAAAAATATTGTATGGTAGTCAATGGCGAGAGACAACAAATATTTTTATCTCGTTTGAATTGTGCCCTGAATTACACATATGATGTTTGTCAATTTAAAAGATACATTTTAAAGTCAAGAAAGTCGCAGTTTGATGTAAAACTGTCGAGGTATAAGACTGTGAAGATACGTAATTACAAAGACTACAAGTTCAGACGGAATAAAAATATAAGTTGTCTCTCGCCATTGACTACCATACATATTTTTTCCGAACTAAGGTCCCATGAGCCGGAAGCGGAGGGGCTCTCTATACCCAAGTTTGCATTTAGACAAGAACGGTTAAAAATCCCGGAAGTGTTCTTGACACGCCCATTTTACCGAGGATGCAACGGTTGGTTACTTGTGTGAACTTGACGGCAGAAATATCCCAGCATTCATTTCGGCATTCGAAATAACGGCACGTTATTGCGCAATACCAGCAAGAACACATCGTCTCAAACTGTCAGCAGCGTTCTGTGTGCTCGTCACCTTGTAAGTTCATTCTTCCAAGAACAACTAGCAAGAGCGTTCTCCCCAAGAACACAAGTCCGTTCTTTGCGTTCTTGGTTTTGAGAAACACCCATAGTTATTCTGATGCCACGGCCAAGGCGCTCTCCTCTCAGAACCCACTCTAGAATCACCCGGTAGGCCACGAGTCTGCATTGGCTGGAAATGAGGAAGGGCGAAATTAGGTCAGTTTACAGACAAAATTGCAAGTCTATTTACCAAAAAAAAAGGCAAATGTACCAAAACTAGGACAGACTCAGGAAAGACTGTTGTACTCACTCATTAGACAGCTTGCCATCAGGTCCGTCCGGTTTAGGTTGCTTTTTCCAATTTACTTTCGGGACAAAAAAAAAAGCTTCAAGAACATCCTTGTAGATCAGATGGGGAAACCTCTCTGTATGGGCGAAACAATATACACTATCTGGGGACTCATCCAGACCAGGCTGTATGAGATCCCATTCCTTGCAGCACAGGCTTTCTTCCTCGGTGGACATTGCGATACAGTATCCACAGGAGCACCACCATGTCCCCGCACACCGTGCCCTTGAAGCAGCATCCTCTGCCTGCTGCTCTGTTTGTGACGTTCTCTCGACATCTTGTGCCAATAACTCTTCGTCCGTATATTCAGGTTCGAACAGAAAACCACGAACATCAAACTCAAAAAACTCCTCCGTGTGTTCAACATCTGATTCGGATGAACTATCCATTAGAGCTGATATTCTCAGAACACCACACAGCACCGTCATCTGTTGACTGCTGACAGTCTGAGTCTCCACTGTTGCTTAGTTACCAATGATCGCGCGCGCGAACTCGACAATCGACTGCTGTGGACTTCGAACGACAACAGGACGTAGATACAGGTATGTGAGCGGTCTTAATTAACATCAATTTTATTAATATCTTTCACATCTACTGCAGTCAGATTGACCGTGGTCACTCACCACTCACATGGCTGTGCACTTGTAATGACAAAGCAAGGATGTTAAAGCAGGCTAAACGCAGGTTTAGAACTTGCCCCATTGAAGTAAACAGGGTGCGGATTTTAAAAAGAGGATAACACGGTGTAGGAAACACCGATTTTTGTCGTTTTTGTCTGTATTGACAGCACTCCAAATGTACAAAAAAATTAGCCCAATGTTAAAATTGACCGGAGTTCTCCTTTAACCGAGAAAAATGTTTCACGCAATTTTTAACGGTTAATCGGTTTATCGGTTAACCATGGACACCCCTTTCATCCAATCATTTCATTCAGTTTCAAATGCCTACCTGATTGGTAGCCTATATAGCCTCTCCACAATTGCCTACCCTAGCTGAACTGAAGCCTTTAAGTCAGAAATAAAGTATAAAAAATATATTTGTCAGTTTCAGGACCAGGTTTGTAAACACATGACACAATTTCTTACCTTGCCTAGGATGGATTTGCCAATTTTCCTTTCAAGAAGCATAGTGTTCAGTCTCTGCACCTCCATTGCCACACAGGAGGATCTGTGTACGTGGGAGCGAGATGAATGGTAAAAACTCAATTTTTCTTCTGTCAGCTGAGAGAGACAACAAAAATACATATTATCCCTAGAGTAATAACTGAGGCAAGAAATGACAACAACATTGACTTTATGAATTGTCCCATGTCCACGTTTAAAATATATCCACACTTTTTTATCCATTACTGGCCAAGACCAAGGTCAGAAATAGACTGTGTTTAGGAACAGCATATAGCTTAGAGCGCTAGTCTGTTGTGATATCAAATACAGTGCATAGCTGGTCTGTGAAGTGTTCCTTTATTGTCAATGAAAACGGTTTGTCATTCGACAAACTGTTTTTAGATGTAACTGCTTTCACTTTTTAAAATATATAACATTCCTCGAATCCTTAAATATGTATAGCAGAAGAACTAACATCTGTGAGACTTCACAAAAATCACAAAAAGTAAACACTTAAAATCACTTAAAATATATTTCAGCACAAAAAAGCAATGCATGCAGGAAATCACATGCAGGGTTCCCACATGACTTACTTACTCATTCCAGATGATTTTTTCCCCCAATTTATTTAATTTATTGCTTTAATAGAAATTTCATTCACAAGCAGCAACTGCTAGTCAAATAGTGAAATATCTTTTGAGCACAACAAGAGACATTTCCATGACTTTTCCATGCCATAAAAAAAAATCACAATTTTAAAATTCCCTGACATTGACAGGTTTTCCATGATTGTGGGAACCCAGCATATGCGTGTACTGTGTGGGAAAGGAGAGCTTGCCACTTGTGAGATGGTTAAAGTAAAACGAGATTAAGGGATTTAGATGAAAGAATAATGAGATGAAAAGGTTTAGAGGTTAAGATAAAAAAATGTAGATTACAAGACAGCACCACTTTAAATCAATGTTCAATGAGAAGAAAGATTAGGAATCAATGGGTGATGGGTGACTATCGTGATTAGATACAGGGATTTTATCAACGGTTTTGTAGTTACCCGACGAACACTGTCCTCATCCGATTCTGAGAAATGTCTGTTGTAGAAGGGACGTCCCTAAATAATGATGAATGAATTAAAAACCTACCATCACATATCTTAGGAGCCCAAAAATGTATAACTGCTGCGTTTCATGATGCACGTAAGCACAGCACACAACAACAAGTTTATAATGCAGTAGAAAGGAAATGTTGTTACGGAGTAACAAAGAAATCAAGCAAGAACAGATTATAATTTCAACTACATTTCTCAGTAGCCTGGCACTAAACATATGAAATATCTATATTATTAACATAATCTATATCATATCTATATCTAAAAAACAAAACAATAGGTATAAACTAGTTTAATTTAAATTTAATAATGTTCTGTATTTGTTCAGATTTAATGCTGACAATCATCCAAAACCCTGTGCTGGATACAAATACTGTTGTGATTAATAAAATAAAATAATAAAATAAAATATCCAGGTGATATTCGATACCTGGCTGTGATGTTCCACTAAGTCTCCTTCACTGCGTTTCTCACTAGGGTAACCACTGTCTCCTCCATTCTCTGAGTCCTGTGAATGCAAGTACAGTTCATAGTATAAATCAGCTTTTCATTGCTGCTAAAATCAACTTAAATGAAATCAGTTTCCACAAAATATCACTGAATTTAATACCACTGTCAACAATGGATATATATTCTTATTCACAAACTGACCTTTTGATCTGAGTTAGCTCGATGTGTCTCATTCATGTCATTCATAAATGACCAGCCTGTTATGAAACATAAATCGAGAGACATAATTGGAGGTGAAATAAAAAAAATGAGTGTGCATTTGTCATAAAACAAAATATGCATTTCAGTATGCACCTGACATACTGTATGAGAGCTAACTTTATATTTGAGCTAGAATGCCTTGATATGTTGCAGTTTCATTTGTCTACAAGAATTGAGGAAAAGCTTAAAACAAATCAATGTGTTTTAACTAAACACAGAATAAGTAGAGCTACCAATCAGGGTGCTGTTGGCAATAATTGCTTAAACACTCGATACGGTTTCAAATCATAATGTTAAATTGCTAACATGACAGTTTTGATATCTCAGACAAGTGTATACTCTACTAAAGCCTTATACTGTATAGGTAAATTAGAATATGTGTCCTTATAATATTCATCAAAACAATTAAAGGTCAATGCAAACTGGCCCAGGAAGGTTACTTAGCAACATCAGCACCAGCTAATTAATATTCATGAGCTAAGCCATAGATACAGCCAGCAGTGCGTCTAGGGGGAACATCAATAAGACTTAGGGAAAATAAATCCTAACTACCTACCATAGTTACCCTTTCATTTTAATTTCTGAGGGGACATTTCTGATAATTGTGGCTATATTTAGATAAGTCACACTGCTGCAGACTTACACATTTAGAGCATCCCCTATTTTATTGCAGTTTTCTTTTATCATGGATAGATGCATTTTTATGGACTTAAAACAGAAACAGCCATTCACTGCCATTATAAAGCTTGGAAGAGCCAGGACATTTAGTAATATAACTCCGATTGTATTCGTCTGAAAGAAGAATGTCATATACACCTAGGATGACTTGAGGGTGAGTAAATCATGGGCTAATTTAAATTTTTGGGTGAACTATCCCTTTAAGTGCATTCACACATAGTCCTTCGTTAGTATAGTATTACCTATGGATGATCGGTCTGCAGAGACGCCAATACTAAGTGGAGAGCAGGGAACCGAGTCTGTCTCGCTGTTTTCATCAACTGAGGAAGTCTCAGAGAGCCGGGTCAGAAGAACAGGCATGTGGCCGAGAGAGATTGTCCGAATCCTGGGCGAACCACACTGCTCTTCACATCCACGGAGGACAGTCTGAGCTGAATTCTGCTTAGAAAAAATTAATTCATTTAGAAAGCTTTCAGAAATATTTGTTTAAATAATCCAAATTCATAACCAATTGCAACAGTTTGTGAATGCAGGGCTAAGAGACATGAATTTTATCCTGTTGGTCTGATTGGGTCAGCAGTTCCACTGATATTTTCACTGGCAATGCCACAAAAACACCCAAACTTTTAAATTAACTATCAGAACCAAAGTATAATATTTTAGTACAGAATGTTTCATTAAACATGGAAAAAAAGGAGGGATCGACATATCAGCAGGAATTATGTATTTTTGTAGGCCAAAACCCGGAAACGATTTAGTATTTTAGCACTTCTGTCCTGAAGTTTTTGGTTAAACGCCTGAAAAAAGGTCTGTGGTGAACATAAGTGTAACACAGTTCAAGCCCAGGGAAGGAGGAGGAGGGAACCGGCAAATGGTTAAAGTTTTAATCACAAAATTAAACAAACAACAAAACGAAGTGGCAGCCGCTTCAAGGCCGACTGTCACACACAAAGCATTAAAGGGACACTGTGTGGGAATTTCTCCCATCTAGCGGTGAAATTGTATTTTGCATTCAAACGAATTGTGTTCTCCAGCGCCTCACTTTTTCAAATGCCTGTTGCATCTACGGTAGCCGTTATGTACCAAAAAGCTATGACAGGATGTCTTCTAATAGCACTTCGTCGAGTTTTCCTTCGGGTGAACAGGTTTGTTATTTCAAACAAACTGCAACTTGCATATGCTCTATTAAAATATATTCTTATCGAATTTCTAGGTTACAAAAAGTAAACTTACAAACCTTGTTTTTAGCGCCTTCTCTACTCTACTCAATAGCTGCTATTCATCAAAGAGTCATTCACCACTAGCGGAGTGAGCTGGAAAATCAAACTTTTCCCGAACCCCGTGGGGAGGAGGGCCACAACATCATGGCCACCAACAAAACTTAGCAAACATTGTTCTTGCGCCGGCTTTAACTTCTGTATATTCGGCAGTTTTGCAACGACGGACCGAATAGCTTTTCTCACGTCTTTCTCCGCTCCAATTCAAACTGACGCGCTACATCGACGTCATCGTTCTCAGCCACTCCCTCTGTTCGCTGATTGGTCCTACAAAAAATTGATTTCTGGAAACCTAAGAATATACAGCAGTCCCAGACGTAGTACTGAAGGAAAATGAAATTGAGCGGAAGTGCGAGGGCGCAGCCAGGCTAACGTGACGCTGGCTCTGAACGAAAACGCGTTGGCCTAGTACTTTTTGTCCCTCTCTGCTATTATAGTTTTTCAAGATGGCGGAACTACATGGAAGCCTCCGTGGACTTACCCGTCCCATGTATATAAAGATAATAAATTCTTCGTTTACGAGGATAAGTCAGATAATTGGCAGAGGTATTTGTACACCATTGAGGACATATTTATGAATAAAAATATTGATTTTAGATAATAAAATACCTAAAAAAGTACACATTGTCCCTTTAGGAATAGTTCAATTCAAAAAGAAAACTCTGTCATCATTTACTCACCCTCAAGTTGTTTCAACCTGTATGAATTTCTCTCTTCTGCTGAACACAAAGGAAGATATTTTGAAGAATGTTGGTAACTAAACAGTTGATGGACCCCATTGACTTCCATAGTTTTTTTTTTTTACTACTATGGAAGTCAATGGAGTCCATCAACTGTTTGGTTGCCGACATTCTTCAAAATATCTTCCTTTGTGCTCAGCAGAAGAAAGAAATTCATACAGGTTTGAAACAACTTGAAGGTGAGTAAATGATGACAGAATTTTCATTTTGAAGTGAACTTTAAATGTCCCAAGCCTGGTCCTCTCTCGCCTTCCATTGTCATCACTCCTACTTTTATCCTTCCGGAGCTCCTCCGTGGGACTCGAGGCTTCAAAAATATATAAAAGTTGTTTTCATTTGTGATGTTTACCATGATGACCAAAACGTGTAAGAATCATAATCTTTCGTTGGTCAGAGCTTATTTTCTGCAAAAATCCAAAAGCTAACGGTAAAATCCGATTGGGTTTTTGTTGAGGGAACCAGGCTGATGCTACTTCCAGAATGGCCTACTGGCCGTCATCATATAAATACAGCACCGTCTATATTGGGCAGTTCCATCAACTGGCCCAAACTTCTCACACTAGCCCCGGGCAATCCTACTGTTGAGCCCATGTTACGTATATAGAGCTTACATAAGGATCTTGTACAAACCAGCAATTTGTTGGTGCAGTCCAGTTGTGCAGTTTCAGCAGGGGACAGGTCAAAGCGAGTGAGGCTCATACTCCTACAGATCTTATTACACAGGTGAGAGTGGAAGAAAAGAGCCATGCCACGCACACCTGAAACACACACACAACATACATAAGACAACCATTACTAGTGATGCACAGAAACAAATTTTTCACTAAAGCCAAAATATTTCAAATACACAGATTACATTTTTATATCAATTTTTAATAATATAAATTATGTTTCTACTCCAATTCGTTGTTGAAAAATAAATATTTATACGGTGGCTGTAATAAAAACTTGTTTTGATGAGAGATTTGTTCAAACATACATAACATAATGGAGTCATAGGTTAACCCTCTGGGGTCCAAGGTGTTTTTGGGGTCCTTGAGATGTTTTGACATACTCTGACATTTGTGCTTTTTTCAGTTGCTTATAAACATATTACTGGCAAAGGTGTAATTACACTCTATTTAGCACACACAGGGCTACCATAATGTGTTATCAACATGTATGTACATTTTTGTATTTTTGAGAGAATATTGTTTATGCGTGGTTATTGAAAAAACTAAAACTTAAAGTTTCTGAAATAAGGCCACAAAACACATACTAAATATCTGTCCACAAGACTTTTGACTAATGGGTGTTGTGGCCTAGAGTTTTTTCTTCAAAATGATCTGAAAATCATCCTGCCTTATCATTTACATTAAACAATAGATTGGTTTAAATTTAAAAATGACACTTTTTGTTTGGAAAGGCAATATGCGCAGGGGTGTGACCTGCTGTGATTCACACCTGAGAAGACAATGGGCCCGCATAATGAGCGCATAATGGGGCTGCATACTAATGACCCTTTCATTCAGGTGTGTCACTGAGCCACAAGAATGCAATGCAATGACAATATATATATATATATATATATATATGCCTATATAATACAAAATTGGTTCACAGTTCCAATTATTTATTTATTTTTCAAATTGTGCTTGCAAATTGTATAATATCAAATGTAAAAATTTATAGTAATTGTGCAGTTAATTATCATACTGTTTTTACAGAAAGTTTGGGAATGTATCCCAAATGTGTCACTAATAAAACACAATACAAATAATTTAAAGAGGAGGCTTATATTGAGCTTTTAAGATTTACCTAAGATTTATTTATATGTAGCCTACATATATTTTTGCTATTTTAATAAAAAGGTTACAATTACAACAACAATTAAAATGTAACTATTTCAAATGTAATCTTTCTTTGTATTATATACTAAAGTATACATTTTATCATACATATTTCACAGTTGCGGATTAATTAGTTTGAATATAGCTTACAATCGAACAAACACTATAATAACATCTTAGCAAACAAGCTTATTTGATGTGGCATTATTTTACAGTAAAAACGACATCTTGTCTTTCATATGTAACACATCGTTTTTATGATTAGGACATATAAATGTTAATTTGCAGTTTAATACGTTGCTTATACAAAAAATATTTTATTTCAACATATTTCAGTCGATTTTTACTCATCTCAGCATTGGAATATAGTTAGGTAAAAGCTGTTCATTCATTCACACACAAAAACGCGATTCAAACAGTCTTTTTGTTTACAGACACTATTCCATATCGCGATTAGCACAAAGCACTTGAAAATAAAGAATGTACCTATTTCCTCGGCTGGATCCGTTGCTCCTCCAAATGAAACTACCTGTAGCCTACTTCTGAGGTAATTTTTTCCAGGATTATTATTAAGATAGTACTATTATTCCTCACAGCGTCGTAAATCTGAGTCTCTTTCGGTGGTTATCCAGCTGGTGTGGGCGTGGATCGCCTCAGAGCATTTGTGTTTGAATAGAGCGCGCGCTCCGTGGGCGTGGTCAAATTAACTTTAATGAGCTGAGACGAGAACGACTATCATCTCTCTCTTTTCGTACAGATTACATACAATGAGAAAAACATTTTTTTATATAAATTACTTCATTTAAAAGAAGATAATTCAGGCTTCATGGCTGTGTGCCTGTGTACCTGTTTGACTGAGTATTTGCAGAGTTACAGATGATTTTTCGGACGCGTTTCAGAATGTACTACACTGACAGAGAGAACGCAGAACGCGCATCATGTTTATTTTTCTTTATTAGGCGAAAAGCACAACACTTTGTTTTTATTATGAGGTTCCACAAAAAAAATACAAACTTAACAGGATCGAATGATGTACAACACTTATATGTAAGATCAAAATTAACAGAGTAATTTGAGTCTCTTTTGCACTGATAAGGAAAAAAGTGAGCTGGTATCGCCGGCGAGACCGCCGACCCCAGAGAGTTAAGTAAAATTATAATGAATGTGTAATATAGTGCATATATTTATTTAAATGCTCCTCTCTAGTAGCCTGGCTAACGTCAGACCCAAGTCTCATTGAAACTTGGGTCTGGGAACCACGTGTTCATTTTCTCGTATTTGAGGCGTGGTTTACGAATGCTCGGCGCCTTTTATTGGGTGCTAAGAATGTCTATCAAATGGGCCTGTCAATCGTTTCAATTATATCAGATGACGTATGTGTCGCATAGACATCAGCATCGTCTTGCTGCTCCCTCCCCGTTCTGTGATTGGTTCCCTAGATGAGGCGAAAATCTGGACCATGGTATCCATACTGCCTTTCAGCGTGAATAAAATCGCTGCGGGAAGGCAGCATGGGGAAACCCAGACTACCTCTCTAGAGTTATTTTCAGAAAGCTGAGATTTTTTTCCATATCAAGGGCCCTATCATACACCCGGCGCAATGCTAGTTTCAGCCCGACGCAGTTATCATTTTCACATCCTGCTCCACGTTGGCGTGCTGGTCTGAAAACGAGGTGTGTTCAGGCGCATTGTTGGCACGTTGCTATTTTGAGGCAACTGAAATAGACTGCGCCATTGACTTTACACCAGGTTTCAGTTGGTCAATGGCGCAGTCTATTTCAGTTGGCTCAAAATAGCAACGCACCATCAATGCGCCTGAACACACCTCGTTTTATTCGCAATTTTTTTTTGTTATTTAAAGAGCGCGTTAGTAATATGCGCCTATGGGCGGGTCAACAATGCGCATACACTTTGTCCCATAGATGGTCTGCTCAGATCCGTTTCCTCGCTAGAGAAGCGTTCAGTTTTTCCGCTTGCAAATTACGCCATGTAAATAGCGAATCCGCCATGGGGCGAGCGCAACTGGCTTTTAAAGGGAATGGGAGATGACACTCTGATTGGTTTATTGCACATTACGCCCAAAACACACCCATTACTCACTAAAAGAATAGGGACAACCCTTTTAGACCATGCGCCGGGCATACAGACCATTTTTCCCTTCGTTAAATTAGCAAAAGTGGATTCGGACACGCTCAAAGTGCGCTTACGCCCGTGCGTAAGACGCTTTAGACCATGAGCTTAGATTGTTCAAATAGGGCCCCAAAAGATACAAAGCTTGATGGTAGGTGCACTACAAATAATGTTTTGTGTTTTAAAAACAGCATACACTAAAACATCTCGGTTCATCAAAATGAAGATCGATTAAAAACGAAAAATGTATATTGTCCAAACAGCTGACATAATTACCTGTTGTAGTTTATCCGCATCGTGTGCATGAAAAAGACACTTACACAGTCAAAAAAGAAGCATCATCGGAGTAGTACTAATTAAACATCACTGTTTCAGTCAATGTTTCATCCATAACTGAAATTTAATTTCGGCCAAATATTTTCAGTTGCCAAAATTTCAGTGCATCACTAAAATGTTCCTCATGCTTAAAGTACTCTTGCTTAAGACAAATCAAATTTATAAGAAGTCTTTAAGTTTATAAGGAGAAAAAATGCAGGATATTGATAAATACCCAGGTTGCCATCTCCAAAGTCAGTCCCCTTCTCAGTGTGGATCTGAGGATCTGTATAAAGGTCCCCAACACCCTGAATGTCCACCACTATCAGCTGGTGTCCAGAGCGCTCAAATGTGAAATGACTAAATGCCTTAAGCCACAAAAACATCATTGCCAATAAATAATCACACATCATTTCACTGGGACAACAGATTCAGATTTGATACATCCTTGACAACCTGGGGTATAAGCCGTATGTTATCGTCCCTCACGAAACCAGAGTTGGAGTTGTACTTTGTGTACTTCCCCTCAATGTAGTGTTCCAGGTGAAACAAAGGGCTCCCAGGGCGACTAGTCATTTCCACAACACACATCTGCATGATGTCAACCTAATAATGATGGGATACGTTAAAGTAGTACATAATTCGTATCTGGTATGATTGTTCAAACCAGTTTTGAGTGGTAAAACCTAGTTTACATACAAACTGTGACAGTGTTTTATGAACATTAACAACATCCACCAGAGAAGTACCTGTTTGGGAGGCCTGTGGCGATTGAACTCCTCGCCCCATAATTTAGCCTCCATTTGTAACTTCACATCCTCAAAGTAAACCTCTCTGTCCACAGTCTCCATGTAGCGCTTAGCCACGTAGTTTGAGGCTGATTTCCATTTGCTGCTGTGGGAAAAGTTTGATAACTTCTTCCTGTGAACGATAGGGAATAGAAAGCTACAGGTCAACAAAAATCCATTTTAAGACAAGAGATGAGAGTATCATATTTAGGGCTGCCCCTGACTAAAGAATTTCCTAGTCTACTATTAGTCGTTCATTTAAGCCATTAGTCGATTAGTTGGGGGAGAAATACTAAACCATAATAATGAGCATTTAAAATATGAAATTAACCCCTTGTTTCACAAAGGTTTAAGCCTATAGTCCCAGACTAAAATGCATGTTTGAGCTGTTTTAAAAGTTTAAAAAGTAAAACAAAAAAAAGTTAAAAAGTTGGTTTGATTTATGAACAGTATTTTATATAAAATGTATATTTTATGAAACATGTTGAACTATAAAACTGCTAGAAAATCAAAGCCATAAATCTAAACAAGTTGTGTTCCAAATTTGAGGTTGATATCTCAAAGAATGAGCTTTCAGTAAGATTTTGTTTGGGGCATTACCAAATTTTCCTCAGATGCCAGCAAAACTCGCTGGGACACGCAGTGGTTGGATTTGGGATTTGCAGTAGTTTTTCTCTCTCAAATATTACAAGCACATACACGCACACATTTATTTTAATACACACATACAAACCACACTCTGACATCAATACCAACACACCCACACAATTATCGCTGCACAAGTTATCCAATTGGCACTATTATATGCAGAAGCAGAAAAACGGAATAAAGCGAGTATTTGCTTTATAGGCTAAACCTGAGAAAATGGCACCATCTGGTAAATTCAATTTTGAAGCTTTGCCAACATAATGAAAGCCTATTAACAAAGATTGCATAATTGTATGGTCAAATGGCCCTGGGAATAAAATAGCAGTTTTAATGGGTTTCAATGGGGACATTTTTGTCCAAAAGGTCATGAGTGGAACTATTTTGTGTACCTATACTAGTGTAAAATAGATTTTTTAAAGGAAATGGGGGTGAAATAGTAAAATTCCAATAAAAATACACACCTGTGCCAAAATCTATGCAGTTGACATTAACAGGCAAAATGATAAATAAATAAAAACTGAAAAAGGCAAAAATGTCCATAAGGATGCACAAGGGTTAAATGTCCTATTAGAACTAAGGCCTAATCCTGATTTAATCTAAACCAGGATTAGGCAGACGGACAAGTATAGCCTTAATATCGAATGAAAACTCAGTTTTCAGTCAGAACACAAACAAAATAAATATGCATTATATAAAAACGAATAAATAAAAAACAGCAGCAAACTGAAACACTACAACAATATGGACAATTAGGCTCTACCGTCGGATTCACCATCGCTATTTTTCCCCCTCTGATATCAGTCTCTTTGTTGGGGAGAAGTGAGCTCCGTGTTTAACATTTAGTCGATTATTAGGGGGCAGCCCTAATAAAATTATCACTTGAATGGAAGATACATCACTAAGAAAGGGACATAAGGGATGTATTTTGTACAGGATAACAAATACTAATTAATACAATCTTCATAGGCATTGGTCAATTATGACTAAGTTGGCTTGACAAACAAAACTAATCTACACAATATTTTCCTAATCCTTTTAATATAATAATGTGCCGTTTTTAAGACAGCAATTAAGCAATTACATGGAAACTGCAACTTATATTAACTGCAAAAAGGCTAAAAGGTGAAAAAACCTGAAAAACGGAATAACACTTTCACTTCTATTCCAAATATTCATTAATAAACAGTAATATTTACCTAGTCTATGGTATATATATATTCAATATATATTTGCTTGACTCACGATCTGAAGCATTCTCTCATGGCTCCTCTTCCAAACGGCTGTAAAAGAAATATATCTCAATTAATTCAAGAGAATACATAATTATTAGCAACATATTTACAGAAATGCAACTTCCAGCTCATACTGAAAACAAGTGTATGATGGCGCCAAAGTACCTGAGAGGAAATCTTGATAAATATGTCGTCTTTTGCCCATTCACCAGTAACCGCATTGAATCTAAAGAGCAAGAATACATGTTTACGCCAATGTAAATCACTTTAAATGTAGCTTTCTATTCCCTTTCATTTTCATGAAGAAGTTATCAAACTTTTACCCACAGCAGCGACTAGAAATCGGCCTCAAACTACGTGGCTGAGAGCTACAAGGAGATGTAAATGCATTTAACAATTTTAAAAAGTATCTTCTATACTATGAAAATAATATTTGTAAAATACACAAGTGATTTTTCTTCTTCTTTGGGACAGTTAGTGAAAGAGTCAATAAAGCAAATACTGCATGATGGGCACAGTCCTGAAGGCACACACCCAATATTTACATAAGTGTGTGTTGTTTTTTTCCATGGCCCAGAACACTGTGTACCATGTAGACCAACCAAACACAGTTATTTAATGGCACACACAACCATTGGCAGGCAGTCAAGGGATATTTTTTTAGAGGTGTGAAGTTACAAATGTTTAAAATTAGAGTCTGAAACTGTGAGACATCTGACATTATGTGTCTCTTATTTAACATGCAATCACACATTTTCTGAGATTGACTTGGACGTGTGTGTCGGGTGTCTGTGGTGTGGCACAGTGGTAAAAACTCAGGACTGGTAGCAGGAGGAAACCGAAGGTTCAGGGATGATGGGACACAAGGGTCAATCTCATGGCCAGTGTTGCGGAGACACTGATTAAAAGTAGAGACGTCACAAACTTTACATTTTTCAGTAGCATGAGAGTAGGTCAGGTGTTTCCAAAAGCATTTGTGTATTTTCTGTCACCGTAATTGTTAATTTATTCAAAAACCCTCATTTTTATTTGTATATCATATGAAGACTTCAGATGCAAAAACGTCTCGGTTACGGATGTAACCCTCGTTCCCCGAGTGGGGAACGGAGACGTTCTGTCGGAGGACGACGAATGGGGTTTCGCATAGAAAGCCTATCAACTTCGAGTATACAAAACGAGCCAATGGCAAAGAAATGCCATGGGTCTGCGGAATTTGCATGACGTAACTCCACCCTACCTCGTGGGTATAAAGGAGGAAGTCACGCCGCATACAGACATGTTTCTTCGCTGAGGAGCCAAGACTGAGCTCAGGCGATCCCCGCGGTACAGTGGAAGTGGCAGACAGACGGAACGTCTCGGTTACGGATGTAACCCTCGTTCCCCGAGTGGGGAACGGAGACGTTCCCCTTCGTTGTCACTCCGAGTTCCGTCGGAGGACGACGAATGGGGTTACCAGTCCAATAACGCCACCTTCACAGCTGTCTTCCAGTGCCCTGCGTAAATCTGAGATCCCTGTCGTGAGACTAGCACGGACGAAGGACTCCTATTTAACACAGGAATACCAAGGTACACTGGGGAGCATATCACATAGTTTAGAGGAAATATGCAAAATATTGCCAGGCCAAACGGGGGGGACTTAGAGAATACACATATGACCCGAAGGAATCATATGGAGAAACACTGGGGTGTCCAGCCGCAGGTGGAATATTTCAACCCCAGGAGGTGGCAAGGTGGCTTGCCAAGGGAAAGACACATGCTCAGAGAGGCTTACAGTGGGAATACACATGTGGGGGTTGCTCCGGAGAGGGACCATGCACACGGGAGGCACCTAGCCGACGCTCAGGCAAGAGACACTGGCGCCGACGTCAGGAGTGCAGGAGGAACTCGGGGCTTTCGGAGAAGCTCACCTGAGGAGAATATCGCACGTATCCAGTCCGTGGAGTGGAATGGCGAGCAAGCGAAGACACCTGAACGAGTCCCATGTTAGCTTGAAAAAGACAGTACATGGGAGGAGACTGGCTCCACTCAGAGATTATAGAATCTGGCGAATGTGTTCGGTGTCGCCCAGCCTGCAGCTCTGCAGATGTCTGTTAGCGAGGCGCCATGCGCTAGAGCCCAAGAGGATGCCACACTCCGGGTGGAGTGGGCCGTCACACCAAGGGGGCACGGTCGACCTTGCTGCTGGTATGCCAAAGCAATGGTGTCCACTATCCAGTGAGACAACCTCTGCTTGGAGAGAGCCTTTCCCTTCAGCTTCCCACCATAACAGACAAAGAGCTGGTCTGAGGTCCTGAAACACTGCGTCCTGTCTACATAGGTGCGGAGAGCACGTACTAGACAGAGCAGTGCCAAGGCTGGGTCTGCCTCCTCCGAGGGCAGCGCTTGCAGGTTCACCACCTGGTCCCGGAAGGGAGTGGTAGGAACCTTGGGCACATATCCAGGCCGGGGTCTCAGGATCACGTGAGAGTCAGCCGGCCCGAATTCCAGGCACGCTTCGTCAACGGAGAACGCGTGCAGGTCCCCTACCCTCTTGATGGAGGCCAGTGCAACCAGGAGCGCTGTCTTCATAGACAGGATCTTAAGCTCCACTGATTGCAAAGGCTCAAAGGGAGCACTCTGCAGGGCGGATAGAACCACCGCGAGGTCCCAAGAGGGAACGAGAGGAGGGCGAGGAGGATGTAGTCTCCTCGCACCTCTCAGGAACCTGATGACCAGGTCGTGCTTCTCCAAAGACTTACCTTCTACCAAATCATGGTGTGCGGCGATAGCGGCAACATAGACCTTGAGGGTGGAGGGAGACAGCCTTCGCTCCAACCCATCTTGAAGGAAGGAAAGCACAACACCGATCGAGCAACTCCGGGGGTCTTCTCGGCGAGAAGAGCACCAGCTGACGAAGAGGTTCCACTTCAACGCGTAGACGTGTCTCGTGGACGACGCTCTAGCGGAAGTGATGGTAGCCACCACCGCAGGTGGTAGGGTACTCACACCTACCTGGTCCCGTCCAGGAGCCACACGTGGAGGCTCCAGAGATCGGGACGAGGGTGCCACAGGGTGCCCCGTCCCTGAGAAAGAAGGTCCTTCCTCAGAGGAATGGGCCAGGGAGGTGCTGTCGCGAGGAGTATGAGTTCGGGGAACCAAGTCCGGGTGGGCCAGTAGGGCGCAACCAGAAGGACTTGCTCCTCGTCCTCCCTGACCTTGCGCAAAACCTGCGCAAGAAGGCTCACTGGGGGAAACGCATATTTGCGGCCCCGCGGCCAGCTGTGCGCCAGTGCATCCGTGCCGAGCGTGCCCTCGGTCAGGGAAAAATACAGGTCGCAATGGGTCGAGTCGTGAGAGGCAAACAGATCTATCTGTGCGTCCCCGAACTGGTCCCAAATCAGCTGAACCGACTGGGGATGGAGTCGCCATTCTCCAGGGAGGGGCTGAAGCCGTGAGAGCTCGTCGGCTGCACAGTTCAGGACTCCGGGAATGAAAACGGCTCGAAGCGACCTCAGATGCTTCTGACTCCATATGAGGAGGTGGCGAGCGAGTTGAGACATACGGCGGGAGCGTAGACCACCTTGATGGTTGATGTACGCTACAGTGGCGGTATTGTCTGATCTGACTAGTACGTGTTGACCCCTGAGCAGCGCTCGGAAGCGGTGCAGAGCAAGGCGTACGGCCAGCAACTCGAGGCAATTGACATGCCATAGGCGGTGGGGTCCTGTCCAGGAGCCCGCGGCAGCATGTCCATTGCACATGGCACCCCAGCCCGTGGCGGAGGCATCTGTTGAGACAACAACATGCCTGGACGCTCGTTCCAGGGGGACACCCGCCCTGAGAAAACTGAGGTTCGACCACGGGGTGAAGGTCTGACGGCAGGTCGGAGTAACTGGTACTCGGAGGGTGCCGTGTTGCCATGCCCACCTCGGGACTCGATCGCGAAGCCGAAGCTGAAGCGGTCTCATATGAAGCAATCCGAGCGGTGTCACCACGGCTGCAGATGCCATATGCCCCAGGAGCCTCTGAAACAGTTTCAGTGGAACCGCACTCTTGCCCTCGAACTGTCGTAGACAAGTTAGCATTGACTGTGCGCGCTCGCTCGTAAGCTGCGCGGACATGGCGACCGAGTCGATGTCCATACCGAGAAAAGAGATCCTCTGCACGGGGCAAAGTTTGCTCTTCTCCCAGTTGACCCGAAGGCCCAGATGAGCTAAGTGCCGGAGCACAAGGTCCCTGTGTTCGCAAACCTGGTCTCGAGAGTGAGCTAGGATCAGCCAGTCGTCGATATAGTTCAGGATGCGAACCCCGTGCTCCCGAAGGGGAACAAGGGCTGCCTCGACGACCTTCGTGAAGACGCGAGGAGACAGGGCCAGCCCGAAAGGGAGAACCGCGTACTGGTATGCCTGCCCCTCGAAAGCAAACCGAAGGAACGGTCTGTGTCAAGGAAGAATGGAGACATGAAAGTAGGCGTCCTTCAGGTCGATCGCTGCAAACCAATCCTGGGGCCGCACGCATTCGAAAAGGCGTTTTCTTGGGGACAATGAAGTAAGGGCTGTAGAAGCCGGACCTCATCTCGGCTGGAGGGACAGTCTCGATTGCACCCTTCGCCAGCAGGGTGGCAATCTCGGCTCTCATGATGGGGGCATTGCCACCGACCAAAGTGGAGCGAACTCCCCTGAAGCGGGGAGGAGACCGTGCGAACTGAATCGCATAGCCGAACCTGATGGTGCGGGCGACCCAGCGGGACAGACGGGGAAGCGCTAGCCAGGCTCCCAGGTACTGAACCAGCGGGGTCATGCGGGCCACAGGCGTCCCCCCGGAGGGGCAGCGAAGCGGAGTAACTGGCCCAGACGTGGACGGCATAGCGATCCGGTGTGGGGGCACAGTTAGCAGCCGCGCCCGGACAGAGGAGGCCAGGGAAAGACCAGCGTTCCACGGGGGCCTGCTCTGTCGGGGGTCTGGCGACAGAGGGGGACAGGGTCGAGGCGGTCCGTGGACGACCCGCCGTGTCAACCGCCTCCGGGACAGAGGGGAGCGAGGAGAGCACGGCTTGTGGGCGGCGCTCTGTGTCGTTCGAGAACTCTGTGAGCTCAGGGAAGAGAGGATTGTTTCTTTCTTTAACCATGTTAGGGTGCTGCCCACCCCTGGGTGAGCAGCGGGGAATGGAGAACAAAAGATTCTCCCCCGGCCCTCCACCGGGGGAAGGAGTGGTCCTGCTACCACCTCCTGAGAAACAATTATCAT